CTGGTCTGGCTACAGGCAGAGCAGTAGCCTCTTAGTAGAAGGAGATGCTGGATTTGCCTCCCAGGGGGTTCAAGACCTTGTTGTGTAGGCGAGGCCTTGGCCCCAGCCTGGGCTGGTAGCTGACAGCCATGGGCATGGGCTCAGTCGCCTTGGCGTGGTCTACTCCTCTCGAGCTGCCCTTCTCTCCCAACTCTTCTCAGAGAGAGGTGCTTGTTGCAGCTTTAGGGTCTGGTTTTGGGTCTTCTCATTCACCCAAGAACACATGATCCTTGGGTTTGTTTGGGTGTGCCAAAGGTGAAGTGGCAGTGACTAGGTAACCAAAAATGTCAGTGGTCTTCCCGCTAGGTGGGTTCAGATATTGTGGGATCTGCCTAGGAATCAATTCAAAGATACTCCCTCATTTCCCCCTGGGGGTTTGTCACCTTGGGTACATTCTGAGGTTCTTCAGTTGGTCCAAAAATATTCAACACCATACTATTGGGCCAGCTTGAAGGAACAGCTTCTTCTAGACTTCCAAAAAGATTGCTGGATTTGGGGGCTGGGGATGTGGCTCAAGCGGTAGCGCACTCGTCTGGCATGCGTGCGGCCCGGGTTCAATCCTCAGCACCACATACCAACAAAGATGTTGTGTCTGCCGATAACTAAAAAAATAAATAAATATTAAAAAAAAAAAAAAGATTGCTGGATTCTCCTTCTGAAGTCTTCCTGATCCTATAGGGCCCAGTAGCCAGCCTCAGCATCCATGCCCTGGAATATGTCGGCCACTGTCCTGCGCCTCAAGGCTTCATATTGTTAACTTCATCCCCTAAGTTGATCTACAGATTCAATACAATCAAATCAGAATCCCAGAGAGAGGGGGTGGGGCTGTAACTCAGTGGCGGAGCGCTCACACGTGTGAGGCACGGGGTTCGATCCTCAGCACCATATAAATATAAATAAATAAAATAAAGGTGTTGTGTCCGTATACAACTAAAAAAATTTAAATAAGAAAAAGAATCCCAGATGGCTTCTTTGTAGAAATTGACAATGCAATGGACCCAGAATAGCTATAAAAATCTTTAAAAAGAACAAAATTGGAGGACTCACATTTCACAAACTGAAACTGGTACAAACTTCAGTAATCAAGACTGTAGGGTACTGGCACAGGACAGACATATAGATAATGGAGTAAAACTGGGAGTCCAGAAATAAATCTATACATTTATGAGCAGTTAATTTTCAACAGGGTGCCAACATGATTCAATGGGGAAAGAATATTATCTTCAACAAACAGTACTGAGACAATTGGATATCCACATATTTAAAAAAAAAAAAGTTGGACCTTTACCTTAACCACATTCAAAAATCAACTCAAAATGGATCAGACCTACAAGTAAGAGCTAAAACTCTAAAATTCTTAGAAGAAAACACAGGAATAAATCTTTGTGACTTTGGATTAAGCAATGGTTTCTTAGACAAAACACCAAAAGCACAGCAACCAAAGATAAAATAAAAGAAGCTGGACTTCATCAAAATTTAGAACTTTGGTGCTTCAAAGGATACTGTAAGGGAGAAAGATTTTACAAATCGCATGTCAGATAAGGGTCTAGTATCCAAATATATAAAGCACTGATGTAAATCAACAAGAAAAAATACAGATAACTCTAAACTAGAAAATAGAAGAGAATGAGGACAAGTGCTTATAAGCTAATTTTAAGAAAGTCTGGATCCCTGGACTTACTGCTGAACTTCCTCAGACTTTTTTGTTTTATAACGAACTCTTACCTCTGCCCTGCTCAAGCTATTACAACGGGCTTCTGTCATTTGCAGCTGAAAGTAATCCTAACCAAATTAATACCAACTACAGCTGCGGTTTCTTTCATCATTTTTTATTTTTTTGTAATTGTAGATGGATAGCATGCCTTTATTTTGTTTCATTTTTGTGTGGTACTAAGAACCAAACCCATTGCATCACACATGCTAGACAAGTGCTCTGCCACTGAGCTACAGCCTCAGCGCCTATAGCTGCGTTTTGTTCTAATCAAGTCTTCTTGGTTCTACCATCAAAATCCAGTCACTCCTCACCTTGCCCACTGCCCATCCCTTACATAATTCAACATCATTTCTCACCCAATGGATCACTGCAATGGCTTTCAGCTAGTTTCCTGTTTTCTGTCTGTGTTCCCCTTTACTCCACTGTCAAAGTGCATAAAATGGCATTCAGGCCACTACTCTGATCTAATCCTCCAATGACTTCTCCCTCAAATAATGGAGAATGTCTACTTCACCACAAGGAAAGTGGTATTGATCTGGTACCATATGCCCTGCATCCCTCGGACCTCACCTCCTACAAGAATTGCCCCCTAACTCAAGTCACCCAACAAAAATGACCTCCTTGCTGTTCATCCCACAGGGGGTGCTTTGGACATGTTCTCACTGCAGTGTGTATGGAATGTCCCTCCAGACACCTGTGCATTAGATCCTTGACACTTTTCTGGGGTGTACTGAAAAGCCATGAAATTAGTGGACATTCCCTCAACACCCTATCTAAAACATCAAAACTGTATTAGCTTAGATGTTTCCTAGTCCCTTCCCTGCTCTGCTGTTCCTCTTCACTTATTATTAACATGTTATACACTTTATCTCTCTTGCTGTCTCCATCCCTCCCTAGAATGAAAACTTCATTAGGGCATAGCTCTGTTCACTGCTGAGTCCTGCATTCGTAACAGTGCCAGACACAGAAATCAGTAAACATTTACTGATGAATAAATACAACTACCATAAGGGGAAAACTAGGCAAGAATCTGAAGAATGAGAATGTGTCAAAATCTAATGCCAATGCCTCACAATAACTGTTAGGGCCTTGGAAGCATGCCAGACTTGCAGAGACTATGGCCAGCCCCACAGAGAAGTATGCATCCTGTATGCTGAGCAAAAAGCAGGCACTTAGATACTCTGAATGTGGCTGTAACACTATAGTTTCCTACAACAGAACAAAAACCATAAAAATAGAACAGATACTTTCCACCTTGCTTTGGCTAGTCTCACTTTAGGAAAGGACTTCAGCTAAAGCACATGAACAGGTATGCCAAAATCTAAACTTACAGCAGTGAGTTTGTTCCTCAAGATTGATGGATATCTGCTTTTTTTTTTTTTTTTTTATAAAGGGAGAGAGAGAGAGAGAGAGAGAGAATTTTTTAATATTTATTTTTTAGTTTTCGGCAGACACAACATCTTTGTTTGTATGTGGTGCTGAGGATCGAACCCGGGCTGCACGCATGCCAGGCGAGCGCGCTACCGCTTGAGCCACATCCCCAGCCCAATATCTGCTTTCTCAACGGCAAAGTACACAGAAATATGATATGGATGGATTTTATTTTAAAGAACTATAATTAAGCTTAATGCAGTTGATTTCAGAGCATGCTAAGAACCTTTAAAAGTTACTATGCTAAACTGCTTTTGTTTTCAAATAATTTAAAATCTATTGTAATAAATGCACAGATTGTATCCAGAAGGATACATAAGAAGTATACCACAGTGCTTGATCCTGGGGACAGAGCTAGGCATGCAGGAGAAAGGCATGGAACTGAGTTATGTTAATGTATCACTTATGCAAAAATAATAGATTAAATCTGTTTAAAGCAGCCTCACAGCAGTAAGGTCTTTCTTACCACCCAGAGCCTGCTTAGTGTTTACACAAGATACATGCAATGTGTGAAGTTCCATGACTCCTACCATACATAGAGGCACTACAATAAGACTTTATAATGACCAGAAACTAATTGTGCAGAAATACATCAAATTGATTTTTTTTAATTCCTCAAAGTACCCAAACAGATTTTTCCCCTTTTAGAAGAAAAATTTATTCCAAAAAACAAACCAACATTACTCTCCAAATCCTCATTTTCTAATAAAACTCTCAGGACAGGGCAAGGACTCCATCAGAAACATAAAGAACAAGAAATATTACTAAAACGAATGATTCTTAATAGAGTGAGATTCTTTAAGGTGCTGCTTCCTTATTGCCAACCATATTGTACAAATCTCGATCAGAAATAAAACGCTCAGAGGTCGGAGAAAGGCCTGAACTGCAGCAAGGAACAGGCCCAAAGTTCAGCATTCAGATTTCCAGGGGAAGACCTATGGTTCCGTAAGATACTATTAATGGTCTTTTTCTGTTCCAAAAATTCTCCCCAAAATGAGCAGCAGAGACCCCCCTGGCTTCCAAAGAGTAACGGATGTCAGCAATGAAGCAAACAGGAGCTCTTTTACCGGCACACCTGAGATGTTCCTGGAGCCTGCAGATGCCCCATGTTCTAGCAAGCTCAATGCAATATAGCTGAAATGTAAAACTCATTCATCCCCCCACAAAAAACTGCACCCCACTAAGTGTCGGCTTAATTTTTAACAGAAAATATGAGATACGCTTCAGTCAACTTTTCCTAAAATGCCAATCAATTTTATTAATTCTGTAAGTAATTCACCACCTACTTGGGAATCACAACTCAAAATGCCTGCAGAACAACTTGAGCTTAAGTGAGTCTCTCCGGTGATGTTCTAAAACCCTGTTACTCCACTGCCATCAAAAACTAAACGGAACGCCTCGTGTAGGGAGCGCCTCAAGTCACAGGCTGTCTGAAGTGCCACTTGCAAAGGGAACCTCCCATTGGACGCATCCTCGCTCCCCCGCCCCCCGCTCCGCGGAGCAGACCGACAGGCATGATGTCACCCACTATCCCGCAGCTCGTGCCCCGGCCCGCTCCAGGCGAGCTGCGCCCCGAGCGGGGGCGGCCGAGGAGGCCCCACCATAGTCACGGTTCCTCGCCAGCCAAGAAGCAAGTTCGCTCCCTAACTCTCCACTCGCAGGGGAGGGTGAGAAGGCCGGGGCGACGCCCATCAGCGAGTTGGGGACAGGCCTCCCGGCGGAGGGCACCCAGGCGAGGGCGGGCGACCCTCCGTGGGGCTGCGCGGTCGCCGTCGCCCGCGCGCAGGCTCAAGTCGCGGGGGCCGCCCGGACTCACGGTCGGGGCAGCGGCTCCTCGGCCACAGCCGGGCCGGGCGGCGGCGGCGGGGGCGGCTGCAACTGCGGCGGCGGAGGCTGAGGCGGCGGCGGCGGCGGCGGTTGCTGCTGCTGCTGCTGCTGCTGCTGAAAGGACTTGAGGGACTCGAAGGCCTTCATCAGCTTTTCCAGGGTCGCCATGACAGCCTCCCGCTTCGCGGGGCAGCCCCCGGAGTCCTCGGGCCGGCTCGCGCAACGCGGCGCAGCTCAACAGAGGAGCAATGAATGGGGCTCGGCGCCGCAGGGAGAAGTGGAACCCCAGCGCCCGGCCATCTTGGGCCAGTCCCGGCAGCCCCCGCAGCGCCCTGCGTCTCGCAACGCGGCGCCGGCGGGGGAGGGGCCACGCAGGGCCCGCGGGATTGACAGCCCGGGGCGGGGACCTCCGCCAATGGCCGGCTGGTGCGCTGGCCCACCCCCGCCTCCACACGGTCGCCCTTAGTAGCCACCGCCCCTCAAAGATCGCGGCGCCACTCCTCAGCGAAGACGCAGGACTCGGCGGAAAGGGGGCGGGGAGATCTGCTAGGAGGCGGGACAAAGCGGAAGGGGCGGGGCGAGTGCGAGGCTTGTCTGCGGGGCGGGCTGTGGGCGTGGTGGCGGGGCGGGGCGAGGAGGTGGGCAGGGCGCGGCGAAAGCGGGGTGGTTTCTCCTGGAGGAAAGGTCCTGGGGAGGGGCACGCGCGCGGGGAAGGCCCCACGCGACTCCCGGACTCTCCGCCAGAGCCAGCTCTGGCGCGGAGCTGGAGGCCCTGCGTGACTCCTTGTCCACCGAGCTGGCCGGTGGCCTGAGCTAGGGGCTTGCTCTCGACAGCTCGACAGACACCATGTTGGGGGCTCCTGGACAGGAGGAGGGAGGCAGTGAGTGGCCCCTGCGCAGGACTCGAGGCTCCGTGTGGTCCCGGGCCTCCAGAGGGACTGGTCTGGGACAGGCACAGATGAGCCATGGCTGCTGCCCGAAGAGGCTGCAGTTAGTGCAGAGAGAAGCAGCTTTAATCATAAAGACATCCCACAGGAAGAACTCTCCAGCCCAGGGGTGTCCCCTCTGTGGGAGAGCAACTCTGCCCTGGACGTTGGGCAGGACCTCCAAGGCACTCCTTGTGCCCAGGCGTGTAGGCAGGCGCTGGGCAGGTCCTAGTTTCCAGGATCTCCCTGCCTGATGGGAAGGTGGGAGAACAAGCAGAGGGGCACCAAAGGTGGGGGGCACCAATGGGGAGTTCCTGCAGTTTGTGCAGCAGGGAGTGGGGTTGGCCTCAGGGAGAGCATTCTGGGCAGTGATGAGGGGCTACAGCCCACACAGAACATATCTGCAACTCAGAGTCCCTGTTGGGTGTCCACAGTTTACACCTCCACCTGCTCTCAGATCCTGTCAGCTGTTCCAAAGTGATCAGGTAAAGGGAAATAGCATTGTTCCCAAGGGGATAGCAGCAGCCCTCTCTTCCTAGGAAGAACTGCAGAGAACCTTGTTTAGGCCTCAGTTCCCAGTTGTTAAGGTCTTTGTCCACTGTGTGGGCATGCCAGCAGGGCTCTAGGTTCTTAGTTGCTGCCCTAGGCAGATTTGTACTATGGATCTTGAGCCCCACCTCCTGGAACCAAAACCCTGTGAACCCTAAGAGCTGCCAAATTAGAGAGGTCCATGTGGCCTGAACCAAGAGTCAGGGAGAACTGAGGCTCTCAGCCTTATGACCCAAGGGGAACAGTCCCGCCACAACCAGTTGCTGGAAGGGAACCTCTCCCAGTCCTGCTTTTAACTGAGAGGCAGCTGCTACTTGAGCCAACCTAGTCAGACGTGGGGGAAGAGAGGACCCAGTTAAGCTATGCCCAGATTCCTGACCTACAGAAACTGAGGTCCAACTGTGGGTTGGAAAGCCACTACATTTTGGGATTACTTACAATGCAGCCACGGATAGGGCATTGGTTTGCTTGGGCTGCTATAACAAAGTACCACAGACTGGGGTTTAAATAGTAGAAATTTATAAATTTCTGTTTTATAAAGTTCAGTTTTAAAGCTCACAGAAAATTTTGGATTCATCAAAAAAGAGAAAAGATTAACACAGTGAACAATTAGACCTGGTCTCTCCAAAGTCTTAAAAATGGGCACAGTGCCTGAACGCAAAGACACTTCAGTAATTTATCCTAGAAGAACAGCCAGGAATATGGAATTAAAAAAAAAAAAACATTTGTTACAGCAACATCAGAACAAAAAAATACAAATGACACATTATTAAATGAATCATCATACAGTCATATGACAGAAAACCCATGGCAGAAGCCCACGTAGAAGTGCATCTGTGACTCAGCAAAGTTTACAGAGCACTGGCAGATTACTGTGTGTATCATGACACACACCCCTTTATCCAGAAAAACACACATACACATAGTAAGAGACAAGGTATCTAGTCACCAAGATGTCCACAGTGACTCTCTGTCTGCACAGAGGAACTAAGGGTGATCTATATCTGAATCTTTGTGCTTTTCTGTGTTTTCCAAATTTTCAGCAGTGAAATAGCAGTACTATTCAGAGGAAAAATATATAGCTGGATGGGCAGCTAAAAATGAAACTCTACAGCAGACTTGTGACTGATCAAAGAGAGAAGGTAGTGAAGCAGCCCAACTCTCACCAGCTGGGGACGGGGAGGGCAGTCCTGAGTCCAAGACCAGGTGGAAGCACAGGCCAGGCAAAGCTGGAAAAGGAAGGAAACATGAAGGAGACCCAGCAGCTACTGAGAGTGGAGAGGTTGCCTGGCTGGCCCTGGCCCTGGCCCTGCCCCCACAAGAGGTGGGAGCAGGAGCAGAGGTGAAGGTGTAGTACCCAGGCCAGGAGCGGAGCAAGAGGAGCCCCTGCCCAGATGCAGGCACACAGCAAGCGTGGGCATGGTCTCGATTTGCCGCTGTCCCTCCAGTGACTAGGCTGCGGTGTGACTTTGTACTATATTAACTGGCCCTACTGGTGTGTTTGGGTTTCAGTCTCCCATTTGTTCTCTGCACTTCCCATCAGTCCTTTGTCGCCTTTTCTGTCTTGCCTATTTGGGAATAGTTAAAGTCTCATTCTACTTTTGAACCTCCACTTGTTTGAAAGCTATGCACTGTCTTCTTTCAGTGTACACCCTAGAAATTACAGCATCAGTCCTCCGGGTATCAAGATCTGGCAATGGTCAACACTTGAGCCTTTCCTCCCTAGTACAGAAAACTTCACAATAGTAAATTACAACTTCCCTCTCCTCTCAGTTTAGAGGGTATTATTGGCATGTGTTTTAGTTAAATGCAGATATACACACACATATTAAAAAAAGACATCGATACAGTAATTGCTGAATAGTTAGCATTTATTTAAATCGGCCCACATAATTATGACTTTTTTTACTCTTCTTTTGTATATCTATAATCTGCCATTGAGATAATTTTCTTCTGCCTGGAATACATGCTTTAGAATTTATCTGACAGTGGATCTTGTATTGCCAAAATTCTTCAGTTTTAGTTTATCAGAAAATGTCTTAATCTTACCTTCATTCTTTTGTTGGTGCTGGGGGTGGGGGCGTGCTGGGAATGAAACCTAGGCAAGTGCTCTGCAGTGAGTCACACCTGACTCCACCTTCTTTTTTTTAATGTTATTTTTCAATTTTAGGTGGACACAATATCTATTTTTATGTGGTGCTGAAAATCGAACCCAGTTGGGTCTCATGCACTCTAGGTGAGCACGCCACCACGCCCCCCCCCTTTTTAAATATTTATATTTTAGTTGTAGTTGGACACAATACCTTTATTTTATTTATTTTTATGTGGTGCTGAGGATCGAACCCAGGGCCTCGCACGAGCTAGGTGAGCGCTCTACCGCTGAGCCACAACTCCAGCCCCTCTCCTTGATTCTTAATGGCTTTTTGGTTGGGGATAGAATTCAGTGTTGGCGGTTATTTTCCATCAGCAGATTGAAGACCCGGATAACACCACCTCTGGCTTCACATGCTCACCATGGAGAAGTCAGCTGTTGATTTAGCAGTTGCTCCTCAAGAAGATCGCATGTGATTCTTTGTCTGGCCACTTTATGAAAACGATCCTTGGTTTTTGTAGTTCGTGTGGGGCACCTGCATGTGCAAGGAGAGACCCAGCCACTGTTGACAGGCCGCCTGGGATGCCCTTCAGCATCCAGCAGGAGGCGGGGAGAGGTCAGCCGTGGTGTTCTTTTCAGCAGCAGGCTGTTGCTCAAGCCTGGAGTCTCCTGACCGGCCAGTTTGGAGCCTTTCAGGCCGTTTCCTTCCAAATCCCTGGAAATACACAGGATGACAGGGAGAAAGAACCTGTCCTGCTGTACCGAGTGTGCTGTGACCAGCAGGACCTGACACTGACTTAGGTCCCATAGGATGATGAGAGCGTGGGAGACAGGTGCCTCTCCTGGTGACTCTGTTTCCCCCATTAAGCCCACTGCGTGCCTGTCCAGCATGTGTGCCTGTCATTATCTGGGCGTGGGTAGCAGTGTGAATCTGCCTTCCTTGCCTCTGCCTGGAATCAGCTGGGCTGGATCAATGTGCTGGTGGCCTTCACCAGCCTGGAGCCCTCTCAGGTTCTGTCCATCTGCCCCTCTCCTCCTGGCACTCCAGGTCAGCGTCTGTCAGGGCTTTCCACCAGACCCCATCTTCTGCCATTTCTACTGTTTTGCCCCTGGTGGCTGTGTTCTGGATAGTTCCATCGGGTGGCTCTATTCTGGTTAGTTTCATCTGGTTTATCTTATTAGTCCCCTCTGGTTGTTTCTGTTCTGCTACTAAACCTTTGCTTAACCATCAAGTTCTGGAATTTTGTAGTTTTCAGGACTGGAATGTCTACCTCTTTCTACAGTATGCAGTGTCACTTCTGCTAGGTTCTAGTTCCCTGCAAAACCTCCCAGCCACGCAGGCTTTCTCCTGACCTCACAGTGTGCTGTTTCAGAGTCTCTCAGTTCCAAGCTGGAGCCTCTGAGCGTGCCTCTCCTTTTAAGTACCTGCCCATTCTCACTCACCAGGCCTCATCTCGCATGCATGGTTATCTTTGTGTACTGGACATTCTATCTGGAAATCATTATAGAAGTAATTTTAAGGTTAAGGTATTATCTTCCAGAAAAAAAATTTTTTTTTCAATGCCACACTCCTAGGGATCCTGGAAGACTTGGGCTCTCTTAATCCAAGTTCCAGTTTTGAGAAATGGTTGAAATGTGGTTGGAATGCAGAAACTTGGTCTGGTCCCAGTGGACCACGTATATTTGAGAGCTGATTTATTTCCCAGTTGCCCTTACTGTTGGGTGGGCTGGACCCC